ACCCAATCAGCCCGAGTTTCTAATTTTAGAGTTGTTATTTTTCTTCAGTTGAAAAGATTAAGCTCAGATTAAGTTTGTTAAAAGCACTGAAATGTTTAAGAGAACTTCAGAGTCACAGAATTTACAATTTTAATTTATTAGATTTATTTTTGTCCTAAACATTTTGGCTAAGTTCGGCTAGTTAGAAGCATTAAGTGAAAGGGATGTATTAATTTAAAATAATTACATGAGCTTTCCCTCCCTCTCTCTCTCCCTCTCTCCTTGTCTCTCTCTCTCTGTCTCCCTCTCTCCCTTTCTCCCTCTGTGCCTCTCTCTCTGTCTCTCTCTCTCAAAAAAAAAAAAATTACATGAAGCTTAATTAAGTTTGTAAATTACACAAAATATTAATAAAAGGTCACTTTAAAGGTAGATGTTAAAATTCACTAGATAGAAATAAAATAAGATTTGTAAATTGAATTAAGAACCCTGTTTTTTGATTTGTAACTTTTATAAAATTAATATTAATTTTTGTATTTTTTTATTAGTTTCAGGTGTACAAAGCAATGTAATAGACATTTATACCCCTCACAAAGTGATAAGCCTCCCCCCAATCTACTACCCCTCTGACATCATATATAGCTGTTATTATACCATTGACTATAAAATTAATATTAATTTTAAGTACTAAAATAGCCCCAAGTTGTTTTTTCTGGGTAACAAAAAATTGCTTTCAAGGACACACAAAAAAATCATATTCACAAATAGCTGAGAAATGATCTTCGAAAATGAAAAATTAATCTCTGAGAATATTTTCATACTACAGTAGGTGTCCTTCATTTGTGCATGTATTAAACAATCAATTTTGAGAAGTAGGTGTTTAACCCCTCTTGATTGTAAGGGTGATGAAACACGAATGTGAATTTTTATCTTTGTGTTTTGGCAGTAGAAAAAGCATAACAATAGTTTATAACTACAAAATCTTTGGTGTCAAAGTGGTGTTTCTCTACTGAAAATAGTACTGTTGTTTAAACTTTTGAAATGAGCAATGGTAATGATTTTTTTTTTTTTTNTGTTTCTTCCTATGTCTGTGGGTTGTGTCCTAAACATGTATATGATAGGTTGTAGAGACAGTGGATTGTTAAATATCTCCAAAGAGTCTTTTTTTTGTCTTTCTTTTTTTGGAGGGGGGCATTGTTTTGGTTCCCAATTAACCTGACTGGACTCAAATTCAAAATTTAGTCTCCTTTCAGTAGATGGCAGTTGAAATCTCTCTTTTTTTTTTGCCTTAGCTGAATTATTTTCATGAATTTTTAAATTACAAAAAAAATAGTATTGGGTTCTAGAAATTACTGCTTCTTACTTAAAAAAAAAATCCAGTTCTTGCTTATTAAATATATCATTGTTGCTGTGTATGCATTTACTCTTTTGCTTCTAACTGCTTCGTAGTAGCCCTGTTAATACCTTATTAATACTAGACATCTGGCCCGGGCTGCCTGGGTACTAACATCTGTGCTGAAGGAGGATTAGGATTGTTGTCCCAAGAGAAAATAGGGGTTAGGCAAGAGCAGAACTTAAAAGCTTTCCTGCAAACTATCCTCTCACTGCCTTCTCTGAGAATCCTTCATGCTAGCCTCACCTCCTCCCTCTCCTCCTTACCCTAACACATATACTAGTTCAAGCAAATTTCAGACTACCTATGGATTTCTTAGCGTAGAAGAAACAATAGAAGTGAGAGAAAAGAAGTAACTGTATTTTTATAGGGAATATAAGAAGCTTATGATAACTTGCTGTCCATCAGGAGCAAAAAAAAGATGCTCTCCGATCTTCTTTCTCTACTAAGCACTATCTCTGTATTCCTAAGAAGTAGCGAGAAGCTATATTAGAAAATACGAGATCAGAAGAAATTAGGTACAACATGTAAATTCTGAGACAACTTTAATGGAAATAAAATCTTCCATTTCTCCTAACTTTAGTAAGAGATACATTTAAGAAAGAAATCAGTATCAACCTCGAGAAGTCTTCATCCATATGTACAAGGAAGCATTAACAAGGTTTTTCGTTTCTGCATACAAACATTAGCCAAAAAATTGGAAAACCTAAATGATCATCAATAGACAACGGTTAAATAATGGTTCATCTAAACCATGAAGTATGATGGATTAGCTAAAGTGAATTAAGTAGACCTTTATATATACTGACTGGGAAGAATTGGCAAGGAATACCATTAAGTGAAAAGCAGTTGAGGGATCACTTGTTTAGTATAGTATCATTTCTGTAAAAATAAAATAGTATTCATTAAACCAAACTATATATTTCTATTAATATGTATGCATGTATACTTATGTACTTGCATAGAAAAAGGATGGGAAGCAAACAAATCATACCATATTGACATGTCTCTTAGAAGAAAAGTAGAATTAGCAGAGTGGTAAAAGGGAACTTGCACTTTATTTGTATTGTTTCATCTTTTTACAATGAAAATGTCGATTACTTGTTTAGTTTTAAAAGTCAGTGAAGGACTTAGAATTTGAAAATGACATTCACTGAGTATCTTCTTTCCTACAGAAAGAAAAAAGGTGTTTAAAGATGTCCTGTCATGTTTGAACATGGATAGGAGTAGAAAGCTTCTGCCAGACTATGTTAAACAATTCTCCTTAGATCGTGGATGTAAGTGGACACCTGAGACTCCAGCAGACTTAGCCTGGAATTTCCTGATGAAAGTTCAAGCACTCGATGTGACAGCTAGAGATTCAGTCCTCAGACATAAGGTTCTGTGTGAGGATAGCCAAGGGGAATTGCCAACTGGAGCAGAGAATTTAGAAGTTAGAGACATACAAACCATCAATCCCCTTGATGTCCTTTGTGCCTCTATGCTGTGCTCAGACAGCTCTTTGCAACGCAAAGTCATGTCAAGCATGTATCAGTGCAAGTTTGCTGTTCCCCTGCTACTGCCAGATGCAGAGAACAACAAAAGCATTTTAATGCTGGGGGCCATGAAAGACATTGTGAAGAAGCCATCAACACAGCCTTCAGGAGGGCCTACAGGGGAGACAGAGAAGTTTCTGACTGTCATGAAGATGCCTGTCATCTCTTTTGTGCGTCTAGGAGACTGTAGTTTCTCCAAGTCCAGAATCCTCAACACACTGCTCAGCCCTGCCCAGCTGAAATCCCACAAAGTCTTTCTCCATCAGGATTGGCCTGTTCTGGTGCTTCCCCGGCAAATCTCTGATGGCCTGGTTGAAATAACCTGGTGTTTTCCTGATAGCGACCGTCTAAAGGAAAACCCCAGTTTCTTCCAAAGGCCTGTGGCTGTGGCCAACCTTCGTGGAGATCTAGAAAGTTTTTGGACAGAGTTTGGTTTCTTGGTGGAAGTTTCCTCAGCTGTGTTTTTTTTCACCAACTGCCTAGGTGAGAAGGAATGGGACCTGCTCATGTTTTTAGGAGAAGCTGCCATTGAAAGATGCTACTTTGTCCTGAGTCCCCAGGCTAGGGAGAGTGAAGAGGCTCAGATTTTCCAGAGAATCCTGAAGTTGAAGCCATCACAGTTCCTATTTTGGGAGGAGGAGGAAGCTGGGGAGAAAGGGAAGAACATGAAGGGTCTCCAAGCTGCCCTCCAAGAAGTGATGTCCTCTTCGCTCAGATGTGTGTCCATGGAGGACATGGCTTCCCTGGCCAGGGAGTTGGGGATCCAGGTAGACCAAGATTTTGAGAATGTGCAAGGAATTCAAGTTTCCTCTAGTGAAAACTTGGTTGGAACAGTTGAAGATGAGGGACAACAAAGACACAGTAAGCCAAAAAGGTCATCCGAATGCCCATCTGAGATGCCTGTAAAAGAGCCTGGATCTGGATGTGAGGTCAGCCAGATTCTTCAGAATTTCCACCTTACCCCAGTAACCACGCCTCATATGCAAAACTGTCCTGTACCAATCCGAATTGGTGGTAACTTAAACCATGGTTCTTTGACAGTGCCTTGGGTTACGGGCCCCCACTTTTGGCCAGAGCAGAAGTCTAAGTGGTTCTGTCCTTCGCCCTTTCAGAATTCAAGGGTCCGTGGTCGAGGTAAAAGATTTGGGATTCGATACTTCCAACCTCAGAGATTTTATTCAGGTGACAGGTTTATGAACTTTCCAAGACCTGCTCAGGGACATCACATGGATGGAATATTTGTGAGACCACCCAGACCCATTCATCAGTATGTACAAGCTTGGCCTGAGAGACCACAGACATTGGGAGCTCATGAAAGGTCTGCTGCACTGGGCTCCCGGGCAGGTCACCTCCATTCCCGGGGTTCACAACCAGGAGGACCAGTTAGGAAGCCACAGCCTAGGCCACCCCAACAGCCTAGGCCACCCCAACAGCCTAGGCCAGCCCACACCTCAGGAACACAGCCAACTGAGGCAACTGGAAAACCTAGGAGAATAGCAACCCATATTGCGAATCCTCACCCTAAAGCCTTTCAACCAGCAGGAGTCAAACAAAAACTCATAAGACCTGCCTTTCAGCAAGGATTCAAGCCAGAGACACAAGGTGGGCCATCAAATCCAGCTTTCCAAATGGGATCCCATCCTATGTCCCGCAGCAAATTTGTACCCAGCTCTCAGTTCCAATCCAGTCAGCCCAAGCCATCCCAGGACAAGCACCCCCAGCCCAAACCCTTCCATCCTATGCCCTCTCAACCCAAACCCACTCAAACAAAACCCACTCAGCCCCAGCCCTCTCAAGCTAAATGCTCTCCGTCCAAACCCACTCAGCCCAAGCCATGCCAGCCCCAGTCCTCCCAATCTAAGTCTTCTCGGCCCAGACCTACTCAACCCAAGTCATCTCAAACCAGTCCTTCACAGGCTAAGGCACACTATCCAAGACCAGGTCCCAAGAAGACAGGGAAGCATTAAAGTGCTTACTCCAGAGACCTATGAAATGTATCCTTTACCCAGACCACTCCTGTCATGTAGTAACCTGAAGAAGGGTGGCAGTGATGATAAGAGACTACTGTCATTATCATGACAGAAAAAAAAAAAGACATGCAGCACAGTCTCATTGGTTATCATTAAAATATCTGTAAGAATTGTTTCCCTAACAAAGAGGAAGAATATGAAATGAATTAAGAATAGAATCAAACAATAAATAAATGAATTGAATACAGTCTCTAGTGTTAGGTAATATATAACCTGAATCCAGGGAATGGGGGCTGTGAAATAGCCCCACTTGACAAAGAATGGGGTTAGAGTCTACTTGCAAAGTGATCATAAACTAGGGCTCAGGTTGCCTCAATGTTGCAAATAAAATTGCCCTACATGTTGGCTGTTCCAGAAGTGTCTTAGTAAAACATTTTGGTTAAATATTAGCTGCCAAGCAGATAACCCTGTTTGTTTGAGATGTTTAAATCAATTTGCTTATAACAGCCCCAGTTT